TTAATTCCTTTTGTCTTTATCTGAGCCATGTTTTTAAAGTACTACTTTTTTCTCTCCAGCATGTGAGGACGTTCTGACCCCTGCAACTGTGTCTGAATCGGCCTTGAAAGTTCTCAACAGCTGCCTGGCTACCATGCCTGCAGGTAGGACTTTTGATTAAAAGCATAATAATCATATTACTCATGTTTGGTAAATCAGCTCGACGTGTCCAACAACAAGACAATAAATGGAAATGTTGAAATGGAAAATTTCGTCCCTATAGATATAGATATAGATTTAGATATTAGATTAAGCTACAGAGCCACAAAACGGTACGCCAAAAAATGCTGCTGCTTCCTCCAACATGAACTCTTTCTTTCTGTTGCCTTAAATTACACATGATGCACATCATTCAAGTTTAATCCACCAGATTGTCTCTGAGCCTCAGCTATTTCCTCACAGCCTCTGAATATCTGCTGACTCATGTAGCCTGGAGCACCTTTAAGCCTAACTAGCTTCTTAACATGTCTAGCATCTTTTTTTTTTTTTTTTTTTGTAAAATGCTGACTTACAGACTTTGGAAATATAAACCTAACTTTTTGTGTCATCTATTTACTTTGGATAGGTATTAGCATGCCGTGAAATTGTTCCATAGTCCCGAACACTTTTATCTCGTCTCTCTGCAGCCACTAGAAACCCGCCCTGTCTGTCCAGGCCCCAGTCCTTCCTGTGGGTGACTAAATGGGTAGACTACTCCAACAAATATGGTTTTGGCTACCAGCTCTCGAACCAAAGCATCGGTGTGCTCTTCAATGAGGGAACACGACTCAGTCTTTGTGACCAACGCAAGTAAGTACTCGTAAACACTTGTGCTTAAAACCACTTAACTACTTTATGACGGGACTTGGCCAAGAGATTTAATCTTTTTAATGGGGATCATTCATTAAAATGAATTATTAATTTTTTGTTTCACTTTCCCTCTAACCAGGACAGTCCACTACTGCATTCCCAACAACAAACTCTTCACGTTCCCTGCCAACGCTCTACCTGAGCAACTTCGCAACCAGAAACAAATTGTGGACCTCATGGCCAACTACATGGAGCAAAACCTTATGGAGGTATGAGCGAAGCGGCTTGGTTTTCAGCTAGAAGACTGCAGCCATTATGTTATTTTTTTTTATTAATCAGATACTAAATGACTGCATGCTTTTAATTTCCTAATGAATTGTTTGTATATTCTGCCAGAACAAAAAGCCCTTTTTAACTAACTTTCCTAGCTTTTCAAAGCAGTCTAAGATGTCCTGTATAACGTGACGTCCTGTGATCTAAACTAAATGTGTTCTGTCCTCTTCAGGGTGGAGATCTGCATTGTGAGGATCAAGTATCCGGTTGTCCTCCTCTGCTGCTCCAGTGGGTGAAGACGGACCATGCTCTTGTCATGCTCTTCAACAATGGCACATTACAGGTTCGAAAAAGCTCATTAATTCTAGTCCTAGATGGATTTTAAAATGCATAAATAAATCGAGTAATGCAACACTGTCGACCAAGTTGCGAGAGAAGTAATTTACCCACTTTGGTAACACTCGTGCTGGATTGCTGACCTTCTTCTTACATGCTGTTTTTAAATCCCTTCCAGGTTAACTTCTACGCAGACCACACCAAGATCATCCTGTGCAAGTCGTCTGATGACTCCTATCTGCTCACCTACATCAGCCGGGAGCGCGTCTCGTGCACGTACCTCCTCAGCATGCTGCATGAGATGGGCTGCACCGCCGAGCTGAGACACCGGCTGCGATACGTAGTCCAGCTTCTCCAGCACCATGCCGATGCCTGAGGGCCCGGCTCGGTGCCTCCCAGGCTGCCCGATTGGCAGATGCCTTGGAGGCGCTCTGACCGGTTAACATTTCTTCCTAGGCAGCCTGACTGGTTGATCAAATTTCTCAAGGCAGTGCCGGGGACGAGCCGACGCCTGCTCAGTTGATGGATGGAAGGCTGCTCAGAGGAGTTGAGCAATTTTTTTTTTATTTTTTGAACGGGTGCTTAGGCAGCTGATTTTCAGATTGATTGACCTTGATAAACATCAAGCAGTCGGGAAGTTCTGCTTCAAGGTTCTGTGCCTGTCCAGCTTATGCCTCAAAGGTATCCACCCGGAAGGTATTGATACCTAATATAAGAGACTCCTACCTGGCCTGAAGTGATGGATCCCTCACAGGCAGATGCCTAAATGAACACCCCAAAACTCCAAATACCTTCCCTCACTTGCTCAAAACCACCGCTTCGTGGCTGGATCTTTCAAAGCCACCAACCAGACCTGCAGCTTTCAGCTCCCCCTGATGGCCTATAATCCAGGCATGATTTGTCAAAGGTATCTAAACACTAAAATTGTCTTATTTGCTTGCAACAGAACAAGGATAATCTTGCCGCTGGAATTCTTTTTAGGCTGTTTTCCAGAAGTGTTTTAGCTGCAAGGTCATTTATGCAGTTTACTTTCATTGAAACTGATCTTACAGCAGAGTTGCTTTGGGAAGAGCTGGGGTTTGATTGGTGAGAGAGACCCCTCTTACCCTTGGTTGTTTCTGGCCTGTTTGGACTATGGTGCATACATTCATTTTTATTTTATTTTTTTCTAAATAAATGAGCCAACAATAGGATCACACTACGATCTTGACCTTTTCATGCACAAAAGACATTCCTGGCCTTATTTGACAATGGTTCGGAAAAGGTTACCGCCTCTTCCGATCCAACATCGCATTGTCTTTTTTTTGTTGTAGTTGGAAGCAAATTTCACTGATGTGGTACACAGCATATTAAAGGGGCTATGGGAGCAACACAATTTTGCACTTTTCTTTTTTTTTTTTTTTTTTTTTTTTTTTGTAAATGCATCTGGAAAGTGAAACCTTTGACTACCATCTGTTATATCGTAGTAGTTTTTAACTAGATACCAAAAGGCATTCTTTGGTTTTTAAAATGATTCAGTTTTAAATTCACAATACCGTCATTGAATGTGTGTGCGCAACACGTGCTGGTAAATAAAACTGTTTGTTTGGAGGGGGGGGGGGAGATAAAAGTGCCTTTCTGAGGGATGTCTGTATAGTGCAATAACAACCCTTTGTGAATGTCAAGCTGGATACAAACTAGATACGAGAGATGGTTTTTACAGGTGGGATTTACTTTTGTACTTTGAGCAAAGTTTAGAAGTAATTCCAATAGCACTACACTCTCACTACCTGGTATAAGCTTTTAGAACAACTGGCATCAGTATATATCGCAGTAATATCTACTAAGGGAAAAAATAAAACATTGTACTCTGTTGTACTGTAATCCTTATCGGTTTACATTGCTTTCTCAACCCAGAGTTGTATCCTAAAAACTGTGACCTGGAATGCAAGTATTACGTACATGTGTTTTCAAAAACCCAACATTGTGAAAGCCATCTGCCAATTCAGAAGAGTCTTTATTTTTTGGCACATAATGTCCTGTTTATTTATTTTTATTTATACTCGTTTTTTATTTATTGTGTAAATGTTACGGTCTTGACACAAGGAAATGTTCAATTCCGATCACCTTTTGTATGTAACATATTTGGGGGGGGGGAAATGGGACAAATAAAGTTGATTGAAAATTAACTTATTTTGCACTTATTGTTCAGTGAAACATTTCTGCTGTAGTGTTTAATTTCTCAAGAGATTAGGAATTTTAAGATAAAATTCACTTTTCATCCCATTTGGTCCAAAAAGATAGTATTGCCATAAAAATAATTGTCATTGGTATATGCCTCCCTGATGGCTTACACCGCTGCCAGATGTAATAGACGGGGCTGTCCTCTCAGCCCATTACTTTGTTTGAGCCTCTGGCAGTGACTGTAAAGCTCTTCAGCCACGTTTAAAGTTAGACACGGACACTATGCAGATGACATTCTTTTGTTTATAGACAGCTGGCATGATCTGCCCCAGATTTGTATCGCTAAAATCAACTCCATTAAAATGTCCTTCCGTGATGTCTATCATCCACTATTCTATGAATGTCTTGGCAAGTATCTTGACCCTTAACTGAAGTGAAGGCATCTACGAGATCAACTCGACACAGCAGGAAGCACAGGAAAGAAATTTGAGAAGTGACGGTGGCAGCTCACAAGGGCAGCCTTAGGTTTGCCTGATAAAATCTTGTAATTGGGCATGCTTTGAGTGTTCAGTCTGGGGCTGACTGGCATACCAAATGTTTGAAAAACATGTTTCATGTGACACAACTGTTCTTTACAAAGAGGAGCTTCTAAACATGAGCTTTTAGTGTTTTCCTGCATGACTCGGCAGTAACACTGACGTGAGTTCCTCATCAAAGCATCTTAACTCTAAAGCTAAATGAATTCCTTGCATGTTGTATACATTCTTTATTATGGAAATTAGAAGATATTTATGCATTCATTTTGGCAGCACGCAAGGTCACAGCATCATATTTTATAGATTAGCCAATAAAAATGTAAGGCAGTAGACATTTAACAAAACAGTCTAGACATTCAAAGTATTAAACATAATTTGTTCAAAGCGTGGGAGCAGATTATTATTCCTAAATGCGGATTAAATTCTAACATGTAATCTATGCTGAGTGAAACCGTCCAATTTCTAGTTTTAATGGGGCGTATTTTGTTGTATGTATTGAAAGATGCACAGAGAAAATATAAGATCCGGACAAATTGTTTTCTTACATGTCTAGATCTGTATGGAGCATCAACTGAGAGACTTTACCTTCAGATAAGGAGAAAATAGTTGTAAAGTATGACGTTGAGACTATCGCATCACTGTTGCAAACCTGTCGAACTGGTTTTATTATCACTGCAAAGACAGGCACATTGTTTTCCTGATACCTTCTTAGTAATGGTTTCCTTAGATGTACAGATTTGTGCAGATTTTTTTTTATTACAAACTAGTAAGGCTTTCTATCATTGGTTTATTGTCATTCTGGGGGAGAGAGAAGGCTGAAATATGATAAAACAAGCATACAACACAAGGAATACTGATGAATAGATATGGACATAGACTTGTGATTTCACATAAACACTCATTTGGACATGAGCGAACATACACAAAAATGACTCAGAATGCACAAAACTCACACACATACAGCCTAGCTCCCTGACATACTTGTTAGACTAGCAGTGCTCAGTCTAACCATGAACACGGTCAGAGAGAAAATGCTGCTTCGATGCTGGCTTGTTTTGGCTCGTGTTAGTGTGTACACAAAAGGAAACGACCGACTGTATATAGACGGGACTCACTCGGCAGCTACTCTATGAAACTGGGAGTGAAATGGCGTCAAACTTCCCTCCTGATTGCACGCTGGAAACAGCCAGAGATCACAAGGCTCCCTCACTGTGACGCCGAGGCCAAAATCTGCTGATTTCACATCTTTAATTGCAACGCGAGACATTCACTTTCCTCCACTCACACTCCTCTCGCCTCAGAGGTGTATATTAGAATCTCTGTCTAAAGTCTTTTTAAATTCGAGATAATGTTGACGTCACAGAGAGATGAGCATATGCAGAAAGAGATGTGTGCCGTGCTGATTTGTGCCCATGTTAGAGAGATGGAGAGGAAAGCTTCGGTGTTAAAAGACAGAAATGAACCGTTATCTCTTCACTGGCGCTATCAGCTCACGCTGGCAGATACAAACAGAGGAGGGAAGCTTGCTGTATTCTGAATGTATTCACAAGTCTGCCTCATTATCTTCTTTTTGACTCTGCCCTGTGTTTCCTCAGAACTGCAGTCATCGTGGTCCAAAATCAAGCAATGTCGTTGTGCTCCAAAGTATCAGCAACCTTTAAATTGAGTATGTTATCATGCAGATAGTATCAGACGGCAAACGATTGAAAGTAGCATCCAGTTTGTAATAAACTGGAACACGAGAGATCGTATGAATGTTTGGACTTCTGCTCACGTCTCCAGACGAACTATTGTTAGGCCTACATGTGAAAATAGTTTAAAAGGATTAATAACCTGTGAAATATCCCTTTTTTACAAAACGATGTAATGCATGAGCAGTGCATCCTATATTCGGTTTATGAAAGCTCCGACATGTGTTGCCCTTTCCAGGAGAAGCCCACAGATTCGCAGGAAGTAATGTGTTTTAAGCGTCAAGCTTGGCAAGATCTCAGCATGGAGAGGAGATATCATGAGCATATATTGTCATTAAAGTTGACCACTTTATTAATAATGTTTATACGAATTGTGCTTGTTTAAAGCAAAGTGTATGAAGTCAAAACAAAAAGATACTGAAAATATAGAATCTGACATTTGTTATTGCAATGGGCTCTGGGATACATCCTGGAAATATACTGCATCGCCTCCACAGTACACAGTATCAATACGCTCTTTGGATACACAACAGGAACTTCAGCATTAAATCATTTGCTCAACAACGTACCTACTGTACCTCAATGGCAATACGCCAACTCACTTCAGCAACATGCTTTCTCAGCTCTTTCTTTCTTTCCCTTTTTAGTCTGATCAAATCATCATGTCTGCAAATAGCAAAATCATGATTAACAGAGTTGAATGGGTCATCAATTACTACCGATGAGTGATTCAAATTCAGCTTTCAAAATCTGCTTATCTAAATCAGGTCACTTTGGTGTGAGACTGTGACATGACAGGACATGTCTGGATCGGCCTGGTGACACTCAATGGCTCTGTTTGAGCAGAAGTTGAATGCAATGGTTACCTTAACCATTAATGAAGCAGCAATCTTTAAAACATGATGATAAAAGTGTTATATATGTGGATAATTACTAGAATGAAAAGTTACCAAAGATGGAAAAATCCCTCACTCTTTCTTTTGTGGTGTTGTGTGTGTGTGTGTATGTGTGAGATAGAGAGAAAACTATTCACACAGTAATTAACCTCCTAATTAAAATGTAGTGCTAACTATAAGATGTGTTATTATATTTTTCACACATTTACAAAATGATAATTCCCCCTAACGTGTCATATGACTTCATGTTTACATGGTGAGGTCACCCACCCACTCCCTAGTCTGAAATGATTTCCTGTGGAAAGATAAAAGTGTCAGACCTCGTGAAGTCCAGGCCAGAAGAACTTCACGGTGAAAAAAACTTAAAAATCCCTTCATGCTGAGAAGAATAACGTAATGGTATAGTCTCTGCAATCACCTTGAGTTCATTTCGAGAAATCATCAATATCTAACATGAAGTGTGAGGTTTCTTTTTTCAGTCATTCTGTTCCATTGGGGTTGTTATTTAAAATGTCCATAGCTGCGTTAATATGAAAGAGACACAATCTACTCAGCTTTGGGAGCTTTTTCCAAATTAGTTTTTCAAATGTATTAACAGTCTAAATCCAGAGCTTCTTTCCAGATGTTTACAAAGACATGACAGTCGGGGCACGGTGAATGGCAACTGGAAAATATCACATCGCAGAGCTAAATTTTGACAATCAGCTTTCTCCATGAAGAGCTGTCAACTCTGGAACACAACACCAACTGAAATCAAATTCATTCCAGGGATAAAGTTATTTTCAACAAAGATTAATGTGCGAGTTAAAAGCAAACCAGAGGAGTTTACATTTTTAGCAAATTGTACTGTAACTTACCAAGGTGTACTGGTGTATTGTGGTACGTGTATTGTGCGATGTGTATTTCATTGTATTGAAATATTTGTAGTGTATCAGGGTTTTATGATATGGAAAGCTGTATATTTTAATTACACTGTACAAGTAAAAGCCCAATTAGGTACAAGAGTTGAAAATGTGTCATAGCTATAAACTCTCAGTTTCATGCCCTGTATATTGTTAAATATACAGGGCATGAAATTTAATTTAAAATGAAATTTAATTTAATACAAATCCGCTCTCATGTCTGCCTCTCTTGAATGGATAAAGATCTGTACATGTTTTTAACACTCTCCACTTCCGTGTGTTGGTTTTTCTTAAGACTGCTTTATTGATGACTCACTTGTGGAAAATATTCTTCCAAAAACTAAATGATGTTGAGCTTATGTGCCTTGTATGTGTGAGTAAGCATGCGTAAGTGTTATTTTTAAATGTTCCCTGTGAGGATTGCTTACTTTGTGGAATTTTACTCACATTTACGGGGAAAAAAAAAAAATCGTCGTTACTGCTGTGGTCTGTAACATCTTTGAAGACGGGAGTGTGAGGTAAAGCCAAGTGGGTGGCATGGAAAAGGAGGAGTCAAAAGAGGGAAACATCCTTCCTTTCCTTACTGCTCTACTGACCCTTGGCCACATCTTTTTCTGGCTCTGTTTGTGTTAGCTGCGGCCTATCCTTCATGAGGGATCCTGCTGCTGATGTCACATTCCTGAACATTAAGGAGTGCATCACACACTTGTGTATGTCACACACCAGTCCTACAGGAAATGTGTGTTTCCTTTTTACGATTCTCCCTCTGGTTCCCATTAAAAGCACAAAGGAGAATGCTGGCCACCCTTGTGCTGCCAGACTGAAATAATTTTCTGTCCGCAGTGACACAACGAATAGAAAGTTAAGTTTTCAGTCCTGGGCCTTTTTTAAGAAAAAAACATTTTTGGAGTTTGAAAAATTGTTCACAGCCTTTCTCACACTTTGTCTCTCTATTAGAATGGTTTGCTAAGCCCCCTTGT